TTGCTTAAACTAATGTCAAAGCATCACTGAGACAGAATTGCAATGCAATGATGCCCTCTACTGAGGCATTATTGCAAGGACCCATAAGAAAAAAACAGCAGCATCATTTCCTTGCTCTTCTATATAGTTGAGCCATTAAATAAGATTTTGAGTGACAAGACAAACTAAACTCAACTAGAGCTGCCAAGCTGTGTGTAGCTCTTTGAATAATATATTTTAGTGGATGATGCAGGGACCTGATGACATAACAGCAAGAGTTGCGATTTTAACCCCCAGTTCAGCCCATCACTTTATTTTTGTCCCAATGAGGGATAAGACAGTTACTGGAGTGAGGAGCAATGGGGCATGGAAGGCAGATGAGGGAGAGGGAAAGGGCTGAGTTAATGGGAATTACTGGGTACACCACACTTTTGAAAATCAGGCCCCTTATTTAAGTGCCTAAATATGGACTTAGGAGCCAACCTACAGGCATCCATTTTTCAGAAATCTTAGCCAAGGTGCCTGACATTTTACAGATATCCAAAGAACCTGCTTGGATAAATCCGTGCTCCCATTTTCAACCATCTTGTAGAATGCTTGTTGAGTAATCTCCTTTCAGTATAATAACAGGACCATGCAAAGGTCAGAGGAAGAAATCAGGCCAACAAGATTACAAGACAACTTGTTTTTGTGTTAGTCTACCAGGTACGGCAGCTGTTGGACAGTACACACTGACCTTAACTCGGCCATTTAGAATGGGAAGTGAAAAAGAATCCTACAGCCAACTGGAATTTCAGAGGGATTTTAGGTAGGCAGAATGGGTGGGATCCACAAAAGGACTTAAGTGTTGCAACGCTAAGTGTCACAGCACCTAATTTTTTGGTGCCAAGAAAATCACAGGAACAACGCTCCAATCCACAAAGCCTGAGTTAGGCACCTAAGCAATGCATGGGGAGAGATAGGAGTCTTAGAATGGGATCCACAAAAGCCAGCACGCTAGGTGCAGAGCCGCCTAAGCTAGCCAATGGGAGATGCCACCCGGATGGGGGTTTGCTAAGCCTCACTTTTCTCTCAGCGATAGGTACCAATGTCTTAGCTGCAGGGAGGAGTCTATATTAATTTAGCAATCCACGAACGAGAACCTACCATCTCAAGTCAGATGGCTTAAATGCCTAAGGTGTTTCCCATGGGAATGAGGCGCCTACCTTGCTCCACAAAAAACAACTGGAGGAGGAGATGAAGATGGTGTTGCCCAGTGTTCCCTCTAACTTTTTACGTCCATGTGCGGACTGAATTTTGTTATGTGACATATCACCTTCATATTGGTGCACATAATAAAATTCATGTGGTGGGGGTGGGGCCGAGGGGTTCGGAGTGTGGGAGGGGACTCAGGGTTGGGGCCGAGGGTAGGAGTGTAGAATCTGGGGTGGGGCCAGGGATGACGGGTTCAGGGTGCAGGAGGGGGCTAAGGGCTGGGGCAGAAGGTTGGGTGCAGGGAGTGAAGGCTCTGGCGTGGGGCCGGAGATGAGGGGTTTGGGGTGCGGGAAGGGGCTCAGGGTTGGGGCAGAGGGTTGGGATGCGGGCTCTGGGGTGGGGCCAGGGATGAGGAGTTTGGGGGTACAGGCTGCCCTGGGAGAGTGGGGAGAGAGGACTCCACCCTGCAGCAGCTCGGGCAAGAGGAGAGGCACCTTTCCCCAGCTATGGCAGCGCTGGCAGGCCTGGGCCGGGCCGAAGGAGGGGCTCCTCTCCCCTGACCGCAGCAAGTCCGGAGCAGGTCCATGTTGGGGCTGGGGGAGGGGCACCTCTTCCCCTGCCATGGCAAATCCGCACTGGGGCCGGCAGGCAGGGGCACCTCTCCCCTGGCCATGGCAAGTCCGGGACAGGTCCATCTTGGGGCTGGGGGAGGGACACCTCTCCACTGGCTGTGGTAAATCCGCACTGGGGCCACTAGGAAGGGGCGCCTCTCCCCCGGCCGCAGCAGGTCCGTGCTGGGGCCAGCGGGGAGGGGCGCCTCTCCCCCGGCCACAGCAGGTCTGTGCTGGGGCCGGCTGGGAGGAGCGCCTGTCCCTGCCACAGCCCTGAGCCCCTGTGCAGGTCTTAATAGGCAGCTGCGTGGCCACGCAGCTTAGAGGGAACTTAGGTGCTGCCCACCTTAACATTCAGCCCAGTAGTTAGAGCATTGACCTAGGATGTGACCCAGATTCAGTTCTCTCCTCACTGCAAGAAGAGTGCTCTAACAATGAGATAAAAGTTATGAAGGGGCACCAGCACCACCTCTATCTCGTCTGACCAGATTTTGAATGAGACCCAATCCAGTAAGCAGCCTCTGACCACACGTATCGGATCGGTCCTGCATGCGGTCGAATAACTATCTTCCCTAGCTTATGAATTGCTTGTGGGCTTAAGTGTGTCCGGATGCCTAGAGGGAGGCAGTTCAGAGAGAGCACACGCTCAGAAGCAGAAACACAGGAAAAAAAGATTATTTACCTGTACTGTAACTGTTGTTCTTAGAGATGTGATGCAGACTTGTATTCCGCTTAGGTGTGTGCATGCCCAGCACACCAGAACCAGAGAATTTTGCCTACCGGTACCCATGGGAGGTGGTGCTCACGCCTTGTGCTCATAGCTCCTCCCCAGGCTATATGAAGCAGCACAGCCTCAACTACCCCTCACTGAATGCCCAGAGACTGGACTCCGATGCAGAGGGGATGGAGAGTGGGCCGTGGAATATGCCTCTGCATCACATCTTGAAGAACAACAGTAACAATACAGATAAGTAACCATTTTTCTTCTTTGAGTAAATGCAGACATGTATTCCACTTAGGTGACTCACAAGCACTACCATCCTAAAAGGTGGGGCTCGGAGTCTATCTAAGCAAGGATTGCAGGACCGCTCTACCCAAGCTAGCATTCGCCTAGATGATGCAGTAATGGCATAATGGTTCATAAACATATGTATGGATGACCACATGGCAGCCCTGCAAATGTCCAATATGGAGATGTCATGGAGGAACGCTATTGACGTAGATTCCACTCTCGTAGAATGAGCTTACACTCGCTGAGGAGGTATAGCCATGTAGAGATCATTTGTGAAGAGACCTCTTGCCCCTTCATATGATTCACATATGACACAAACAGGCTAAGCGAAGCATGAAACGGATTAGTCATATCCAAGTAGAAAGCCAGACATCATCTGACATCTAACACATGGAGATGCCACTCCTCCAGAGATGAATGCGGCTTAGGAAAGAGCATAGGTAAATATATCACCTGGTTCAAATGAAACTGAGAAACCACCTTAGACAAAAGTTTGGGTGTGGCCATAAATTTACATTGTCTTTGGAGAATTGTGTATAAGGAGGCTCTGCCATCAGAGCCTGCAACTCAGATTCTCTTTACAGATGTTATCGCTACCAGGAACGCCCAAGCACAGCAAGCACCAAGTGTGGGGATCGCCTCTTCACAGGATGGATCATGTCTAAACCCTGGTGAGTGAGTCACCAGGCAAAAACTTAACTAACTCTAACACTAAATCTAACACTAATGGTGCTAGCTAACTATACACAACTAGGAAAAAACACTAAGATAGTGAGAGATTGTGATGTTAAGAACCACACAGAGCTCGGACTCCAGTCACAGGTGGTAAAAAGGAACTGCGGGGGGCAAAGGTGGCACCATCTCAGATAGCCAGGGGAGGGGTTATGAGCATGAGGCACAAACACCGTCTCCTACGTGTACTGCTAGGCAAAATTTTCTGGCTCTCGTGAGCTGGGCGCGCAAACACCTGAGCGGAACACACTGCTGCATCTACTCAAAGAAGAAACTAGGGAACTTTTACCCTGAAAACTTAGGTGCTGAATGAGTTTAGATGCCTACTGGGTTTGGCAGGAGTTTTGTGGAAGGCAGTGGAGCCAAAACTGGGATTTAGCTGCCTAAACTCAATACTTAAGTGCCTAAATCTGGGGTTTAGGCACCTAAGTACCTTTGTGGCTCTGGACCTATGTAATTACCTACACTGGAATTTGCCCAAGATACAAGAAATAACACCCTTAATCTTAGTAAAAATGCCACAGGCTCTCTAATGATCACTAACGTCCAGGACCTTCATCCCACTATGTTTACTGAAAAATTGTACTCCACCTTAGATAAGAAGAGATTTATCTTAAGTATTTATAGGTTGCCATTCACAACAGTTAATCTCAATGCCAGTTTAGAACAGAAGGCAGATGCACACTATAAAACATGTTGTAACTAATATACTTAATACAGCAATAGTTTTCATTACCACTATATATTGTAATCTGTTGATTTGCCCAAAATTATTGCAGTGTCACATCTGTCCATATTCTGCTATTTTCTAAACACGAGGATAGGAATGTAAACAGTTCAAATTTGACTAGACTGTCCACAAATTTTAGTACTTCACAACTGCATTCATCTAGATTTCCAACAAAGCATGAGTCAAGTAGCCAGGAAGTCTACTAAAATAAAATATGTACTTTTACCTCTTTTACAATGTTACACAGCTAGAGTTCATCTTCAAATTCTTTCATTGTATTCTGCACTACCAATTACCATCTATTTCAGGAAAGGTACCAGCTGTGCTGTTCCTTCCCCGAGACAATCCACACTGTAGTGCTCAAGTCTTCACCAAAGGGAACTATACACCAAGGTTTTGAAGAAACTCCTTTTAGTTTTCAGATTTAAAGAAACTCATCCACTGAATACTGGAGTCATTTAGATATCTTTTTAATTAAAATAATACTTGGCAGGAGGAATGGGAGGATAGACTTTAAAAAAGACTAGTCTTTCTCTAATCATTTCTGAAAAAGACTTCATGATTAAAAATAGCATTGCTTAACTTATTCTTTATTTTTAGTGCATATTTAAAGGTACTATTTTATTTTGTAGCAAAATCAATTAAATGTAAGCCTTCTCCACTTCTTATGTTCCCAGGGCACATTCTTTGTTCTTACACATTTAAGTTACAATGGTCAATAGAAGTATCTGTAAACACTTACCTCTCTAACAGACAACTGTGGTGGGAGCGACACAGAAAATACAAAGCTAGTGAACTGGTACTCAGCAGAATTAACCTTTTGGCACACCTAAAAGAGAAGGATATGAATCCTCAGTAAGGGAGTTAAACTGATAATCTTTTATGATATTCTTTATTCTAGTGCAAACGTTCTATAACATTACTTTTTGGTATACATTCACATATAAAATGACCATAAGCTCACTAAATCCTACCAGTTAGAGACAGGGTTTTTTAGGTTTCAGAGTAGCAGCCGTGTTAGTCTGTATCCGCAAAAAGAACAGGAGTACTTGTGGCACCTTAGAGACTAACGAATTTATTTGAGCATAAGCTTTCATAGATTACAGCCCACTTCTTCGGAGCTGAAGAAATTGTTAGTCTCTAAGGTGCCACAAGTACTCCTGTTCTTTTTTAGGGTTTTTAGGTTTCTTTAAGGACTGTAACTTGCAGGCAGATTTTATATTATTGTCACAGTAAACCCTCATTGTTATGCTACTATAAAAGAAACCCAACTCAATATTTTATGTTGAAGCGAATCATAAAAATAAGACTAGGCTTGGCAGAATTAGATTTTTTAAAATAATTTCAAGGGATAATATAGATGTTTATGTTTAAACATTTTTTTTTCAATTTTTAGCGATCTAAATTTTTCAAAGCTGTGTAAAACTGGGGGGGGGAAGGGGGAGTCAGATAATCATAGAATCACAGGGTTAGAAGAGACCGCAAGGGTCATCTAGTCTAACCCCCTGCCAAGGTGCGGGATTTGTTGTGTCTAAACCATCCAAAACAGATGGCTATCCAGCCGCTTCCTTTTGAAAACCTCCAGTGAAGGAGCTTCCGTGCTTTGAATCTATTTTGCCCCACACAAGGCACCCTAGTAAAATAGACTTTTAAATTATTTGAACTCCATTCACTTTTCACTAATGGCCACCTTTTTTAAACCTTGTTTAAACACCCAGTTTTGGAAAGGAAGAGCAAAAACATGGTAATCTTCTAAAACTTTAACTAGGTCTACTTTAAGGTACAAGCTATGATTAATTTAAAAAAATTCTGATGCATTAAATTAGGTTTGCCTAAAGTCTGGCCTAATTTGCTACTGTGACTGCTTACAGTACATTATTTTTATATTACTATTAATTAAGAAAGAATATTCATTAAGAGGAATATTTCAGAGCAACACTTGGTAATTATTTAATGGCAGTAGACACTGCAATTCAAAAAGTTAAAACTTTGTAACTATTAAAACACAAATTGTCAACATCACATCACAAATATACAGAGTTAATATCCTTAAATTAAACTCTAATAAGTTCTCAAGCAGCATTTTTCTTACTTTGCCTATCTGTAAATTTAGATTATTATTAATGAATATATTTTTTCATTGGTTTATGTGTATACAGTGAAATTGACATTTACAAAAAAAAATCTAATCCTTGCAAGCCTAAATAACACTTATTGAAGGGAGCAACCCCACAGTGGTAGAGGAATGAAACAAATATAGTCTAATTCCATCTCTCGCTGTTGCAATTCTACAATAACGCAAATGCAGAAGTCCTTAGGATAGTACACTCACAAACATATTACTTTATTACTTTGAAGATTATGAATTACCCGAGATAAAATACTCTCTCTTTTATTTTAAAAGCAAATGCCTACATTATCTCAAGATTAGTGTGTAATTTTTACAAATATAAGAGGCAGCATCAGAGCCCAAAAAAACTAGCAGGCAGACTTTGTCTTCCCTATCTTTCCCTTTTTTACCCAGATACAGTATGTCCATAGGTACAGAATATATGGCCATTACCTCCTTTGGCAGGCCCCACGCATTGAGCGAAGCCTGTTGCACAGGTGAGCTCCTTCCTTAGGAGGCATCTATTCGCCTCCGGTGGGCTCCCTCTCCTCTCAACTACCATTGTTGCTTCTCCTCGCTGGGAAGAGTGAAAATCCCAGTGGTATCCCACCCGCAAATTGGGAAAAGAATATCCCAGCGTTGCTCCCCAATGCCCAGGCCTGAAGAAGGGAGTGAAAATCCCAACAGCAATCAAAAGCAAATGCTGCTGCTGCCTCTCCTCTCACCCTGCACGTCTCCTACCCATCCCCCACACGTAACGGTCACGGCCCCTACCACCCTTCCTCTCTCCCCTCAAGTGCTGCCAACCCTAAGTATTAGAAAACCATGAGTCTGCTCTCAAAAAATCATGAGAAAGTCTTAAAAATAATACATTTTCAGTTCTTTCTCTTATCCTTCTGCTGCTGGAGCCCTCAGGGTTGCCGCTGCCTCTCCGCCACCCTATCCACCCATCTGTGCAAAGATCTCCTGATGTCTAGGAAAGCAGCAGGAACGGGAGAGCACTACAACAGAACACCATGCAGAGGTGTGTGACAAGCACTAGTTGACGTAGGGAAGGAAGAAGGATGCCAGCAACTGATTTTTGGGAGCAGGGCTATAACTAACTTTGGTTGCAGGGAGGGGAGTATCTGATTATTGGGAGAGAAGCAGTAACAGTTTGGGGATGGGGAACAGGTACTGGGGAATAGAGATGGGATGAGGGGAAGGGAGAATGAGGACCAAGGGTCCCTCTAAGCTGCACGGTTATATGGCCATGCAACCTGCTGGCAGGCATTGTACACAACCATGTGCCTGTTGCAGAAGGGAGCTGCTCTTCTCTGAGCTGTCCCTACCTGTCCCTCCCTCTGGAGAAATGAAGTGTGAAAGGGAGCAGATAGGTGGTGAAAAGGAGGCAATAATGAACATGGAGCACAGAATGAATGAGGAGGGAAGGTAAGTCCAAGGAGCGGGAGGAAGGAGAAGGAATGAATGAGTAAAGAGGTAGACAGGGAGACATACTGAGCAATCAAAATGAGTTATTTTGATACTCAAAGTCTTTCCAGAATCTAAACTAACCCCTAATTCAGACTCTTGAGAACTTCAGTCTGTATCTGCTACTTAAATACATAGCATCAGATATTTAACTAACTCCTATTAAGCACTGGCTTGTGTAATACAGAGCTGTTAGCTACACACCTCTGCTGGAGTTCACAAACATATTTGGGGGCACTGTCCCCAAATCCACATATTTTGGTAACTGTTAAAAACACATATTTGTTTGCAGTGTTGTTGTAGCCATGTTGGTTCCAGGATATTAGAGAAACAAAGCAGGGGAGGTAATAACTTTTACTGGATCAACTTCTGCTGAAGGGCTCTGAAGAGCTTCTCTGTGTAGAATGAAAGCTTGTCTCTTTCACCAGCAAAAGCTGGTCCAATAAAAGATATTACCTCACCCACCATGTCTCTCTAAAAACAAGTGGTAGCATTCCAATTAAAATCAATACTGTATGTCAATTGCACTGTTAGGATAAGGAGTTTCTCTTAGGAAAGAATCAGTCTTGGCTGTTTTTTAACCAATTGCTGTCAGGTTTTCTATTGCCACTCAATGGCATAACTTTAAAAAGTCAACACTAAAAATCTGGTCCATAATGAAGAATATATTTTGCCTATGAAAAAGGAACAAACTCATGCACTGTAACAATAGAAACTGCACAATTCTATCTGGTCCCAGTTTATTGGCTATGCTGAATCCAATGTTCATTCTACTAAATCAACTAGTCTTATTTATCAACACTAACATCAAAGCTTCCACTCAGTTTTGAAAGCCCCCCTTCACATTTCACTCTGTTACCCTAGCAATTTTATCCTTCATATATGGTGTTTATAATGCTCTTCACACTATCTTTTCCCCTAATTCACAGTCATATTTTCTCTGATAACTTGTATGCTTATAGTCTTTTGTACCACCAAATTACTTAACATTTTTCCTTAGTCTGTGGCTTCCTAAAGATAAGAATACATTATAAGGGCGATTCATGCTGCTTTACAACTCCTCTATCCAGTAGAAATAAGTACCTAAGAGAAATCCTGAACTGCACAGCACCATCAACTGCATTTCATCCCTTATTTATTCTCCAGTCACAAAGCATAAATAAAGATGGGCTCACCATCTACAACCACATTGTAGTAGTACTGTATGCATGTACCATGGAACTGCTGTCAGCCCTTTGCTTTTGAAACATGATCACGGAGGTCTGTCTGAGGTCTAGTTAGATTAACTTCAGGAGACAGTTGAAGGTTCACCTGTTTTCTCAGGCTTTTTTAGTTACATTATAGCAAGGCCAGGGTAAAATAAGATCTTGAGCAACCCACGGGTAATTCCCCTTTGTTGACTGTACATGAGATACCCAGACACCACGCCAATAGGTGTTATTTAAGTAGTTAAATCAGTAATTGCAGATGAGGAAACAAACCTAAGCATTTCCCCATTTGCTCTTGATTTAAATTACACAGAGTATTTTAAATCTAGATGAAGCCACTCAGCTACATATGGGACTGAAACTGATTTAAAAAAACAACAACAACTAGATCACAGGGTTTGCACTGTAGGATTCTACCAAACACACATTTAACAGCTCATAGAAAAATGAGTCTACAGAGCAGGAAAAGATCACTTACCTTCTGAACAAAATCTATCTCGCAGAACTCCTGAAGAATTCCCAAGCACACGTTGCAAACCTTCGGAGTAGAGTTCTCCATAGCAACATTTACATCATCTGCCACAGGGGTCTGCTGGAGGGCCCCATTTTGATTCAAATCCTCAGCCCCTTCTCCCATGTTCTCAAGTCTGATTCTCTTACACGGGGGGTCAGCTATTTCACAACAAAATTTGTCCTCTTTTTCTTTATTGTACTCCAGGAATTCATGCAGCTCTCTAAGCAAATCCTAAACAACAAAGAAATGAACAGTAAAATGTGTGCGTTTGCTTCACAGCTAACACACAGCTTCTCCCTCCTATGTGTAAGACTCATATATGCAGGCGGTCCTACGACAAGCACCAATAACTCCAGTTCCAAAAAGTGATATTAACTGTTCTAGTTTAGCTTTAAATAGTGCTTATAATTACTAGCTTTTCATAATCTGTGTTGAAAGATTTATTTGCAGAATTCAAAAAATTCAAGTTGAAATATTACAACTGTAAATGGTACACAGAGAAATTAAATTTTGCTGAACAGACAACAGATTTCTTTATAGTATGTAAATAACAGTAGAAGCACTTTACTACGGGCCTGATTTTCAGAAGTCCTGTGTATCCATAACTCCAGCTGAACTCAGCGGAAGCTGCAGGTGCTCACCACTTCTGAAAACTAAGCCCTGTGTAACTTAGATTATGTTGTCATTTAACATCTCCATTTCATTGTCCAATAATTACAGTAGAAGCTCATTAATTCTCAGTTTGTTAATCTACAGACCTAATAATTCCCTCTGAAAAAATTAGCAGACTCATGCAAGTCTCAATAAAGGTGAAATAATATGTGCTGCAATGAGGTCTCATCTCGCTCAGACTTCAAAAAATTTAAAATTGTATTTATGTGCAATAACTAATCTACTACATACATAGTTGCAACTAAACAACCCTTGCAATAAAATTGTATTTTGAGATGCAGTATCATTAATTTATTTTTTTTAAATCACATTAGTTTGGCTTACTCACTAATTCCCAACATTTAATAATTTACATGGGCAGTGAATTAGCAAGGTTTTGCCATATCTTTCATGAGGAAGAAATGCAATTTTGTCCAGTAGCTAGATCATGGGATTGGGAGTCAGAACTTCCGCATTCTATTCCTGGTTCAACCACTGACTTGCTGTGTGACCTTGACCAAGTCACTTAACTTCCCCTGTGTCACAACGTCTCCATCTGCAATGTGTTATAAATACTAGCAAATAGAGAGTCCTAACTCAGTGGAGTTGTGAGGCTTAATTATTTGAAGCACTTGGAAATCTTGATTGATATACATTTTCTGACATAGCTACCATACTTCCTATGTGTGTTTTTTGTTGCCTGATTTTAGGAAGTTAATATTATTAATTTGGATAATATGGGTTACAGGCTCACCAATTAATCTGATCAAAATATAACAAGGTTCTTGTCCCAGAATCAGGCTACACAGAGTTTGCAAGGACCATTGGGATGTATGAGAGGTCACACACTCTGAGACAAATGTAGACTTAAAGACTTTTATTGAGATAAATGGAATAATAATCAAATAGTAAAATAATCAGAGTTACAAAGGCAATAATATTATTCTAGAGATATATGTGCTATTATATACTATAAAGCTTTTGATTAATATACTCACACCCTTCCTTGATAACCTGGTCATAGAATATCAGGGTTTGAAGGGACCTCAGGAGGTCATCTAGTCTAACCCCCTGCTCAAAGCAAGATCAATCCCAAGACAGATTTTTGCCCCAGATCCCTAAATGGCCCCTCAAGGATTGAACTCACAACCCTGGGTTTAGTAGGCCAATGCTCAAAACACTGAGCTATCCCTCCCCCCACCATAAGTACCGCATGCTAACTGACTGCACCACTGAAGACACAGACATAAGAGACAAAGGACCAGCCTCATGCCAAGAGAGTTCTGGTCCAGCTTCCTCAATTCTTGCGTGGGAGGTGCAGTGCTTAGGAGAAGCTAAAGAGCTAAAAGCTATCGAAGCTAACTTATTTACTTAACTAACTGACTTAAAACTTACAGTTAAGAACTAACAGACTAATGGACTAATAAACAAAGAAGGCTTGAAACTTGAAGCTCATAAACCCTGAAGCTTAGAACCTTAGAAGCTTCCTTGGCATGGTGAGTCACTGCTCTTACAGAGCTTGAGTACTCAGGCCCTCCTTCTATGTCCAAACTTAGTTTCCTTACCCACAAAATGTTAGGGTACCATACGCTGGTATGTTTGTACGTACTGATGACATACACCTCTACCGCGATATAACGCTGACCTCAGGAGCCAAAAAATCTTACCGCATTATAGGTGAAACCACGTTATATTGAACTTGCTTTGATCCACCGGAGTGCACAACCCCGCCCCCCTGGAGCATTGCTTTACCCTATTATATCTGAATTCGTGTTATATCGGGTCGCGTTATATCGAGGTAGAGGTGTACATACATATTAATGACATTAGATCAGTCTCACATTTGTTATTTATGTCCTACCTGGTTATTTTGGTTCTTTTCTTGTGGTGTTCCTGTTAAATTTACAGAGGGTATGTACTTAGGAAGCCCCCCATGCCAACCTACCTCTACATATCCTTTCTCTATCTATGTTAAAGGTCGCAGCCATATATGGACCTTATGCTTTCTCTCATCACCACCTATATAGGTGATGCTAATTTTGCTTTAGCTCAACATACAGGATTTAGCCTGTAGGTCCCTTGCGTTACAGCCAAAATACTTTTATTATAATAGATTTATAGGTTTATATTAAACAAAATACTCAAACCCATAAGAAAATAAGAAATCCATAAGAAAATATATATAGGCAAGCAAGCAGGCTAGCCCTATAGGCTACATTTTATAAATACACACATCTGACCCAGACTCATCTTATATTCCCTAGTGCTCAGACTTTTGTCAAGGGGCGGAGAGTCCTGCCTCCACAATGCTACCTTAAGAGAGACAAACTGGTGGCTTTAAATTCTAAAAACAACTTTCTCTTGGAACAGTAACATTTTCAATTTAAAGATTTAGGGTCATTCTCTCGGAAACGTCGTTAACTAAAACTATTATCATTAATCACTTATATAGTGAAATAAACTTACATGGCACTTCAAAGAGTGAGGCATGTTCCTTGTCCCAAACAATTTAATTTTCTAAGGACCTGATCCTGCAACTGATAGTGTGCAGGCACAGTAGTCCACCTAGTCAATGTGGCCCAGAGGACTGGGCTCTGTATAGAATTTGTGAGACCTGGGTTCTAACGCCTGGCTCTACAACTAGCCTACTGGATGACTGTGAGCAAATCACGTCACTGTTCTGTGCCTCAGTTTCCCTATGTGTAAAATGGGGATAATGACACTGAATTCCTTTGTAAAGCACTTTGAGATCTACTGATGTTAGGAACTAAGGCTAGGTCTACACTACCCGCCTGAATCGGCGGGTAGAAATCGATCTCTCGGGGATCGAATTATCGCGTCTCGTCGGGACGCGACAATCGATCCCCGAATCGACGCTCTTACTCCACCAGCGGAGGTGGGAGTAAGCGCCGTCGACGGGGAGCCGCGCAGGTCGACTTTGCCGCCGTCCTCACAGCGGGGTAAGTCGGCTCCGATACGTCGAATTCAGCTATGCTATTCGCATAGCTGAATTTGCGTACCTTAAATCGACCCCCCCCCCATAGTGAAGATCTGCCCTAAGTATTGAGAACCACAATAGAGTTTAAGACAGATATGACACAGGACAATAGCATAGATAAAGGAGGGAGTGGACAGCACTGGGAAGTAGAGGATTCCTTGACAAATTGGGTTTTAAGGAGGAATTTGGAAAAGTAAAGAGAGAGATGAGAAAACTAACAGACAAGAAGTGGAAAACTATTTCAAGCAGAGGGGCAGCATGAATTAATCTTGGAGTGGGAGAATACAAGGGAGTAGTAATGAGAGATGATTATGAGAAAAGCTGGGTAGAACAATTAGAGGAGATGGAAATGAACACAGATGTAGGCGGAGGGCAAATGAGAAGACTTTGTAGACAAGGAGGAGGCAGGGTGGATAAAAATCAATGATTTTTTAAAATAAAAATATCCTATTTTATTTACATCTTTTTTAAATTTAAATGAAATTTAAATGAAATAAAAGTTTATTTTTAATAGAAGTAAATCTAGTTACAATTAAATTTGAAATTGACAGCCTGAGTTAAGGCCTAAACTTTTTATAATCTGTTAAAATCACTTAAAGTAAATACAAAAACAATATTAAGCAGTATGTTTGCTGTCAAATTTTAAAGAAAGTCTAGCCATTGAACTGATGGAAGCCCCTGGCTGAGCACCTAGAACCAGAGTTTGCTGAAGCACTAAACTAGATTTTGACAGCCATAACTTCTTGTGCAGGTGCAGGGAGTATTTTTCTTTTTTATTTCAGTTTACTCAACCAGTTCAATTCAATGACTAATTCGTTCAAAGTTAAGAAGCCAATTAGAAGATGAAAAAGCTGGAAAGCTTGTTTTCCTCTTCCAAACTATGAATAAAAATTAGGTGTGAGAGGATGAGATCTAGTAGTTCTAAAATCTTGAAGGACATGGTGATCAGAAATAATCAGTTCAATTCACTAACTACAGATAATATTTTCTTTGTTAAATAAATTAGTTTTAAACACAAAACATATTATGATAATTTTATGATAAAACTTTTCTTATACATACAGCACATTTAAGGTAGTTTTATTTAATTAAAAAATTAAAATGTTGGTTTGGGGCATTTTAATTTCATCTTAATTTCTATCCAAATACAGCTTGACATCAATTTTTTATTTATGATTTATCCTTTAGTAAATAAGAAATGCATCATTCACCATTTTCTAACATAATAAAAATGTAAAAATTAAGAATCTGAATATCTATTTAATTGCTTAAGTAAATATATACCGATATAGTGTTTCTTCCAAGTTAGCAAAGAGACGCACCAAATTTAGTGTAAAGGCTATATTTAGTTGCAAATCCACATTTTAATGAATACCAATGAGAATCAAACCTTTCTTTTGGAAAATAACTAAAGTACAAATGCAAAATGATTAAAATTTATGATTTAAGTGAAGTTTTCCTGTTTGCTGATTTAAATCATGAGTCAAATCAGTGATTTAAATTGCTTTGATTTAAATCAAACCATCTTGGGAGGAGGAGTTTGATATGATAAGAGAAAGGCGGCCAAAGAAGAGATTCAAGTGTGTGATGATGACAAGGTCAGAGCAATAGAAGTGGAAGATGACTTTAGATTTTGGACTGAGATGAGGGGAGAGTGGTGGGGAGTACAGAGAAAGATTAGTTATCAAGTTGACTAATGCATGGACAAATATTGCAGGAGCAGAGACAGGGAAGAAGTGTTGGAACTCAGTGAGAGACTGGATATGGGGAGAAGAGGAGAGAGAAAACTCAAAGATGACACCAACATTGTGAGTTTCTGAAGTAAAGGATCCTGGAGTTGTCAATGGAAACAGAAGGGAGATGAGAAGAAAGAATGAGGAGTACTTGTGGCACCTTAGAGACTAACAAATTTATTTGAGCATAAGCTTTCGTGGGCTAAAACCCACTTCATCGGATGCATGCAATGGAAAATACAGTAGGAAGATATATATACACAGAGGACATGAAAAAATGGGTGTTGCCATACTAACTATAATGAGAGTAATCAATTAAGATGGGCTATTATCAGCAGGAGAAAAAAAAGATGGTGGAGTTGGAGCTGAAGTAAAGATAAGCAAGATCAATTTTGGAGAGTCTGAGTGGTCAGACATCCTAGAGCAGTGGCCCTCAACCTTTCCAGATTACTGTACCCCTTTTCTGGAATCTGATTTTTCTTGTGTACCCCCAAGTTACATCTCACTTAAAAACTACTTGCTTACAAAATGAGACATAAAATACAAAAGTGTTACAGAACACTATTTCTGAAAAATTGTTTACTTTCTCATTTTTACCATATAATTATAAAATAAATATTGTACTTACATTTCAGTGTATAGTATATAGAGCAATGTATACTGTAGCAATGTAATCGGTATGAAATTTTAGTTTGTACTGACTTCGCTAGTGCTTTTTACATACCCTGTTGCAAATCTAGGCAAATGTTTAGATGAGTTGATGTACCCCCGTGGAAGACCTCTACATATGCCCAGGGGTACAGGTACCTGGTTGAGAACCACTGTCCTAGAGGAACAGAGAAATCTGGGAAAAGGAGGAGTGTGTGAGGGTGGAGAGGTAGATTTGGAAATCACCCGCATATGGAAGCTACCAGGGAAGGGGATGACCTCTCTGAGACAAACCGTATAGAGAAAAAGAGAACAGGGCCAAACACAGAACCAGAGGGATGCCAACAAACAGGAACAGAGATGCGGATGAAGAGACATAAGAGAAAAGGCTGATGGAATAGCCAGTAAGAACTGAGGAAAAACAGAAGAGAACAGATCCCATCAAAGAGGGCAGTTTAGAGCAGTGGTGTCCAGCTTGTGGCCACAGAGACTCTAAATTGTGGCCCTTGCAGGCAGACGTTCGAAGAATGTGTGTTTGATGACAAACTGAAAGTATGTCCCCAAACCAGGCCCTGTGATATTTAAACTAAAGTTCCTCAATCAACCCCACCATTACAAGGAGGGCGTAAGGGGTGCTGCCTCCTATTTCTTCCCCTGCAGCAGCTCTGATATGAGCCATTGGTACGCTGAGAATTGCTGTCCCTTCCCTGCTGCAGCTACTCAGCAGCACCCAAACTGGCCACCTACGGCATTGCCAGGAAAATAGGAGAGAGCACTTCTAGCTACTCCATTGCCTGCTTTCCTACAGGAGCCCCAGCGAGAGCAACATAGGAGTTTGACTGGTTCTGCATGAGCCTAGGAGAGTGTGTCACAAAGGGTAAGTACCCTGCCCACATGCAGCCACCCAGTGCAGCCCACAAGGGGGATGGAAATGAGAAGCTGAGAACTAACAATTAGTTACAGCTCCTTGATTCTCTGCCCCTGCACTAGTTAGAGCATTACTTAGTGGCATCTCCATCAGGAGACCTGAGCTCTTTCTGGGCTACCTAAGTGGGGCAGATCCTCTGGCCTGTTCTACTCTATTTGTGCCAAAGTACTGATTATGGCCCACTGACCTTTTTGAAATAAAATATTTGGCCCTTAAGCTAAAAAGATGGAAACCATTGGTTTAAAGTTTGAAGCGTCATACTGAAATCCCAATAATCCCAATGGACTACAAGTTCAAATCCTCTAAGGTCAGCAATGCCCATAATTCCTCTGAATTTGATAACTGAGTTCCATACATGTTATTATATAAGGGATCATTTGTAAGATTTAAAAACCAGAAATCCTTTCTAGTCTGTGTGGACAAAAGAGATGTGTGCCAGTTAATGGTCCCCTTACACCCAAGAGGTGGCCGCATTTTAGTGGTGCGGGTATGGGAACAGCAGTATTATTTAATATATCATAAGAATGGCCCTACTGGGTCAGACCAAAGATCCATCTAGCCCAGTATCCTGTCTTCTGACAATGGCCAGTGCCAGGTGCCCCAGAGGGAATGAACAGAACAGGTAATCATCAAGTGATCCATCCCCTGTTGCTCATTCCCAGCTTCTGGCAAACAGAGGCTAGGGACACCATTCCTGGCTAATAGCCATTGATGGACCTATTCTTCATGAATTTATCTAGTTCTTTTTTGAACCCTGTTATGGTCTTGGCCTTCATAACATCCTCTGGCAAGGAGTTCCACAGGTTGACTGTGCATTGTGTGAAGAAATACTTACTTTTATTTGTTTTAAACCTGCTGCCTATTAATTTCATTTGGTGACCCCTAGTTCTTGTGTTATGAGAAGTAGTAAACAACACTTCCTTATCTACTTTCTCTATACCAGTCATGATTTTATAGACCTCAATCAGATCTCCCCTTAGCTGTCTCTTTTCCAAGCTGAAAAGTCCCAATCTTATTAATCTCTCCTCATTCAGAAGCCATTCCATACCCCTAATCATTTTTGTTGCCCTTTACTGAACCTTTTCCAATTCCAATATATCTTTTTTGAGATGGGGCAACCACATCTGCACACGGTATTCAAGATGTGGGCGTACCAGGGATTTATATAGAGGCAACATGATATTTTCTGTCCTATTTTCTATCCCCTTCTTAATTATTCCCAGCATTCTGTTCGCTTTTTTGACTGCCACTGCACACTGAGTGGATGTTTTCAGAGAACTATCCACAAAGACTCCAAGATCTCTTTCTTGAGTGGTAACAGCTAATTTAGACCCCCATAATTTTATATGTATAGTTGGGATTATGCTTTCCAATGTGCAATACTTTGCATTTATCAACATTAAATTTCATCTGCTATTTTGTTGCCCAGTCACCCAGTTTTGAGAGATCCTTTTGTAGCTTTTCGCAGGCTGTCTGGGTCTTAACTATCTTTAGTAATTTTGTATCATCTGTAAATTTTGCCACCTCACTGTTTACCCCTTTTTCCAGATCATTTATGAATATGTTGAATAGGACTGGTCCAGAACAGACCCCTGAGGGACACCACTATATCATTAAGGCTATTTCCATTTAAGAACTTTTCCATCTACTGACAGTAAGCTTGAATTTAAATATATGCATAGAGAGAATGCATGAGATGACTTCCTGGAAACTGGTATCGTATTGAACCTATTTTCCTGTACTATACTATTATTCACTTTTAGCAATAAACTTGACTCATATTGGTTATTTGGTCTCTTGTGTATATTTCATAATATACCGAAGTGTGGTCAAGCAATTGGCTATACAATATATCAACAGTATTCTGATGAATAGTCTATCAATAAAGCTACATAGTATCAGAAGATTAGTAGTATTAATTTTTCATAATTCTTCCTCACAGGCATGTATCTTGTGAAAGGATCTGCATTTTGAATCAATAAGTCGGAACTATCCTAAAGAAAACTTTTTGTTGTTGTTTTTTTTAAATACACCTTCATGTTCATATGTTTTAATTAAAAATAAAACAGGAAACCTTGTATGGATGCCTGTAAGATGCCTGTAACCCCACACAGCAGAATCTGAAAACACATCGCGGGCAAGTGCCAGTATTCAGTAATAGCTGAGCAATGGATCTGTTCTTTTCTGTCAATGCAAACATTCTGGATAATCCTAATTAAAAATAAAATAAAACAGGGTTAGTAAGTGATTTTCATGTTTCACTTCTAAACATAATCTGCATAGAAGAAAACAAAGTTAGAGGTATCCGCATCATCACCCAAACAACCCTCCCTAGAATAAACATCATTTGGTACAAACAGTACAAGGATTCACACACCAGAACAGTACTGGGGATCATTGCACCAGTTTATAATTCTCATAAGGCTTGAATGAAGTTTTGTCTTACGTCAGAAGCATCATTTGTTTGGTGAGGTTAATCTATTCCTAGTGACCACTTTGCACATTACACTTGTTCATTATTTGTAGTCACAGGATTATTGACCCAAAAGAAAATAGCTCTGCTGCTGAAGGCTAGTAGTCATAGCTGTTTGGGAGAAAATACATAGACTCATAGACACTAAGGGCAGAAGGGTCCATCGTGATCATCTAGTTCAACGTTTTTCAAACTGGGGTCTGCGGACCCCTGGGGGTCCCCAAGGGAACTCCAGGGGTCTACGGACCCCGCTGATCAACTCCTCCCTCTCCCTCCCTTCCTCAACTCCTCTCCCTCCCTCTATCCTTCAGAGGCTCCTGAAGCCAAACCAGGACATTTTAATCGGCGGTGCAGTGGGGCTAAGGCAAGCTCCCTGCCAGCCCTGGCTCCACACTGCTCCTGGAAGCTGCCAGCACATCCCTGCAGCCCCTGCAGGAGAGGGTCTCCGCGCTCTGCCCCCACCCCTAGTGCAGACTCCGCAGCTCTCATTGGCTGGGAACTGCAGCCAATGGGAGCTGCAGGGGCATTGCCTGTGGGCAGGGGCAGTGTGCGTGGAGAGCCCCTGGCCCCTTGCCTAGGAGCCACTGCCAGAGAGATGTGCCAGTCGCTTTCAGGAGCTGCCCCCCCTCCTACACCCAAACTCCCTTCCAGAGCCCTAGGGTGACCAGACAGCAAGTATGATAAATTGGGACGGGGGTGGGGGGCAATAGGAACCTATATAAGAAAAAGACCCAAAAATCGGGACTGAGATTGGTAAATTTATGGAGAGGACGGTATGATGAGACTGCCTAGACTGGCAGGTGGCCCATCTGTGACTGCTATTAGCAAATATCCCCAATGGCTAGAGATGGGACACTAGATAGAGAGGCCTCTAAGGGCTTGTCTATACTACTGCTTAAGTCGATGTAAGCGATGTCCCTAAGGGGTGTGAAAAAAACCACACCCTGAACCACATAACTTACATGGACTTAAAGCAGTGTCTACACCAGGTGTCAGCAACCTTTCAGAAGTGATGTGCCGAGTCTTCATTTATTCACTCTAATTTAAGGTTCTGCGTGCCAGTAATACATTTTAACGTTTTTAGAAGGTCTCTTTCTATAGGTCTATAATATATAACTAAACTATCGTTGTATGTAAAGTAAATAAGATTTTTTAAATGTTTAAGAAGCTTCATTTAAAATTAAACTAAAATGCAGAGCCCCCCGGACTGGTGGCCAGGACCTGGGCAGCGTGAGTGCCACTGGAAATCAGCTCGCGTGCCGCCTTCGGCACGCGTGCCATAGGTTGCCTAGCACTGGACTACACCATGCTATATCAGCAAGAAACGCTCTCCCTCTAACACAGCTTCCGCACCTTGTTAAGGTGGAGTAATTAGGTCAATGGAAGAGCGCTCTCCCATCGACATAATGCGTCTTCACCAGATGCACTGCAGCAACACCCATTTAGTGTAGTAGTGAAGACAAGCCCTAAGTTACTACAGAGAATTCTTTCCCAGGTGTCTGACTGATAAGTCTTGCTGACATGCTCAGGGTCTAACTCAGAGGTGGGCAAACTACGGCGGCCCGCGGGACCCTCCTGCCCCGCTCCTGAGCTCCTGGCCCAGGCAGCTCTTGCGGCCTGACCCGGAGCTCTGTGCTGCCCAGTGGTATGGTTGGCTCCAGCTGGGCAGCACAGCTGCCTGTCCTGGTGCTCTGGGTGGCGCAGCCGTAGCGCCGCCAGCCACTGGTGCTCCAGGCAGCGTGGTAAGGGGGCAGGGAGGGGGGGGGGTTGGATAGAGGGTAGGGGAGTTCGGGATGGTGGTCAGGGGGTAGGGGTGTGGATAGGGGTCGGGGCAGTCAGTGGGTGGGGAACAGGGAGGTTGAATGGGGGCAAGGATCCCGGGGGAGTAGTCAGGAAGGAGACGGGGTTGGCTGGGGCGGCGGGGGGCAGTCAAGGGCAGGGGTTCCAGTGGCAGTCAGGGAGAAGGGGTGGTTGGATGAGGCAGGGGTCCCAGCGGGCAGTCAGAATGAAAGGAGGGGTTGGATGGGGGTGGCGGGGGGCAGTCGGGGCGGGGCATCTGGGAGTGGTCAGGGAGGGGTGGGTTTTGGGGGGGCCATCAGGGGACAGGGGGGTTGGATGGGGTAGGAGTCCCGGGGGGGGCGTCAAGGGGCACAAAGCAGGAGGGGTCGGATAGGGGGCGAGGGCTGGGCCATGCCTGGCTGTTTGGGGAGGCACAGCCTCCCCTAACTGGCCCTCCATACAATTTCGGAAACCTGACATGACCCTCAAGCCAAAAAGTTTGCCCGCCCCGGTCTAACTAATCACCATGTTTAGAGTCAGGAAGGAATTTTCCCTCAGCTCAGGCTAGCAGAGACCCTGAGGGGAGGAGAGGAGGTTCCCCTTTCTCTGCAGCATGGGGCCTGGGTCACTTACAGATTTAAACTAGAATAAATGGTCTGTAACTTGAAGTCTTTAAATCATGATTTGAGGACATCAGTAACTCAGACAGAGGTTAGGATCTATTACAGGAGTGAGTTGGTGAAGTTCTGTAGCCTACAATGTGCAGGAGGTCAATAGATGATCCTGGCCAAACCAACATGCCTGCTGAGGTCTGCTGCCAGGGAGTGGCGCCCTCTGGCGGCTTCCCTTTCCTCCCCTACCAGAAAGTATTATTCTGTATGGGCAGGGAGAGGGGACATGAATTCTGCACAAGTACAGCGCTGCCGAATTCCCCCAGGAGTATCCCTTCTGACAGCATCCACCCCATTCAACTGCATAGGGGGACATCTGAATGCATGTTTGAGGAAAATAAGTTCTTTCATGCGAAGATCATACATGAAAGGGAAACCCTAACACAATTAACCATTCAATGTGTATGTAGGTATATTGGGGGGGGGGGGAAAACACACGTATAAGTGTATCTATAGGGAACTGACCCTACCCCGCCCTGTACAAGACGAGTACGCACAACCAGAAGGCAGTGGAAAGCGTGCACATCCCGGCGGCGCTGAAGGGCATGCCTACGGGCAGGGCTGCAGACCCCCGCACGGAAGTGCTGTTTGCGGCACACAAGAGGCACCCCGCAGCGCCCCCGCTAGTAGGAGCACACCCCGGGGCTCCGCATGTCCCCGTTCAGCACCACGCATGCGGGGGAGCCTCTGCCACGGGCTGAGGGAGCTACACACCCGCGGTGCAGACCCTCCCTCTCCCCATGGCGGGGGGACCCCTACGCCGGGCCCAGGAGCGCCTCCTACCTCCTCCGCCCGGCGCAAGCAACGGGAGCCTTCCTTGAGGCCGGGGGAAGCATTAACTCTCTGCCCCTAGAGCGCAGCGTGGCGCGCATTCCCGTCCCCCCGGAAACAGGCGTTCCAGCAGGAAGGTTCCGGGCCCGCCGCCGCCGCCATTGCTCAGCCCGGGCTCCGAGGAGGCAGCGGTCGCTTCTTCCGCATCGCGTGCCCGTTTCCGCCCGCCCGCCGCTGACAATCCTGCCGGTGTAACCACACAAACAGCTCCCGGTGACCCTCAGCCCTAGTCCGGGGGAGGGAAGGTCTCCGGACCGCGGGGACAGCACACCCGCCGAGCTGGGGAAGGCCTGAGCAGCGGCAGCCAGAGACATCGATCCTCAAGCGCGGCCTGGCCCAGAGTCGCCGCACCCTCCGGCGGATGAACGGCTCGGCGCTCCCCCTGTCAGGCCTGGCAAGGCTGCGATCAGGTGCGGAGGCTGGGCTGGGGCGGCTCGGCCGGGAGGGCGCAGCGGAGCCGGAACGGAGGAGATGGCGTCTCAGCCGCCACCTCCCAAGCCCTGGGAGAACCGGCGCCTCGCGGGAACCGCGGCCCCGGCCTTCCAGTGAGTGCACAGGCTCCTTTCCCGGGATACAGCCTCAAAACTTCCCTGCCACGCTCCCTATGCAGGGGGAGAGAGGCTCCCTCCCAGGGACCCTGCCCCTCCTTCCATGGGGGGGGGACAGACCTCCCCTCCCCACCCCAGGAACCCTGCCTCGTCCCTCCTTCCACCGTGGGGGACAGACCACCCCACCCCAGGGACCCTGTCCCGTTCCTCCTTCCACGGGAAGGGGACAGACCTCCCCACCCCAGGGACCCTGCCTCGTCCCTCCTTCCACGGGGAGGGGACAGACCTCCCCACCCCAGCGACCCTGCCCCGTTCCTCCTTCCACGGGGGATTATGAGACTTCCTGCCACAGGCCCCTTCCCCCACCCGTGGGAAGAGAGCGACATGGACTTTGCTTCCCTGCCTGCCCCCCTCTCCCCAGTTTGTGAAGTTTTTGGGATAATGTTAATATAAAATGATTATGGGTACTGATCTTGAACCTCTGAATTTATTTAGGTCTGCTGATTTGGGTGCCAGCCTGCTGACCAGGCCAGGACAACCCACACTCACACGAGTACCTCCGCCTATTTTGCCACGACCATCACAGCAGGCAGGGAACAGTAGCCTGAGCAATTTCAGACCTGCATACAGCAGTTCCTTTTCTCCAGGCTATGGCACATATGGAAACTCCTTTTATGGAAACTACAGCCCTTACAGTTATGGATATGGTGGTATGGGCTATAACCGGTTTCGTACAGACGATCTACCTCCCAGCAGATTTGTTCAGCAGGCTGAAGAGAGCAGCAGAGGTGCATTTCAGTCCATTGAAAGTATTGTGCATGCATTTGCCTCAGTCAGTATGATGATGGATGCTACCTTTTCAGCTGTTTATAACAGTTTCAGGGCTGTATTGGATGTAGCCAATCACTTCTCCCGACTCAAAATACACTTCACAAAGGTGTTTTCAGCTTTTGCATTAGTCAGAACTATCAAATACTTCTACAAACGGATGCAGCGACTGCTGGGTCTGCGGAAGAGCTCTGAGAATGAGGATTTGTGGGCTGAAAGTGAAGGAACTGTGGCTCGCATTGGCCCAGAGGACCGGGCAGCTAACTCAGCAAAATCCTGGCCGATTTTCTTGTTCTTTGCTGTTATTCTTGGGGGTCCCTACCTCATCTGGAAGCTGCTCTCCACGTACAGTGATGAAGAAACAGGTAAAGGAAATCAGCAAATTGAGGCGATTGTAGGTTAAAAAATAAACTATTCATGTTCTTGCCTCAAAGAAATTAGTAAATCATACCCTAAAAATGCTGAATTCAACAGGGAGTTGGAGATTAAGGTATTAGAATAGCCTATTCTTTGATGCCATGTTAATTGATCCATTCAGTTCTCTGTCACAGAGGTTCTACTTCTAGGGAAGGTAAAACTTTAGGGCTGAGTTCTGCAGATGCTTCATAGGTATACAACTGCAGAATCAGATTTCTTATGTGAAAGAAACTCTTCTTTGGTAGCAAGATTCAACTAGGTATTACAATATAGCACTTTACTAATAACATGTTCTTTAGTGAACTTGGGGGAAAAACTTGGGCGCTTGCTTTATTCAGTCAATCCATCAATCTGGTGACTTGGAATAGAAAATTCTGCAAACCAGGACACTTATATGCAGAGGTCTAAATGTGGATTCAGAAGCCTAACTTGAAGCACCTGAAAATGTTGGTAATTGTATAGTGCCATATGTGTATGGCCCTGTAATAAATGTTTGTATAATGCTTTTAAGATTTAAAGTGTTACATAAATGTTTCTGTGACCCATTATATTTAGTATATGCATACTTGTGGAAAAATTCAGTTTCTGTTATAAAGTACTTTAAAGATCCAGATGATTATGCTGCTTTTTAACTCTTCTGTAGTGTCTAGTAACTGGGCAAACGGAGATGATGATCATGTAATTGGAAGAGCAGAATATGACTTCACTGCTGTTTCAGAAGAAGAAATTTCTTTTCGTGCTGGTGACATGCTAAAATTAGCACCCAAAGGTAAGATTATGATTTATTGTGGATTTATTTTCTAAATTCCAATGACTTTTTAATGCTTGTGAATGGAGTCATATTGACAGCCCTTTGAGATCAAAAGAGATGTATTTTAGTTGGCCCAACTCAACAGGCCAGTGATTGTGTGGACGCTCTAGAGAAGCAACATGTCCAATCTTTTTGAGTGGATTTTCCTTAATTTCCCTAAAATGTTGGCCAGTACAGTAACCCATTTTGAGACATGCCCAAAGATCACTAACACAGTGCATCTTCACCAACCACTGTACTCCTCATATTTCCTTATGGGCCATGCAACAGTGCTGTAACAAAAGTTAGATCTGTGCAGCACTTTCATTTTCAGAACACTTCAAACATTAATCCTCATGGCATCCTTTGGAGACAGGTAAATTGTTTGCATTTCTGTCTTATTACAAAGTCAGTTTTTCTGAGCTGGTATGCATTCTACCCGACTCCCACCAGACTTCAGTGAAATCTACACACGTGCGTCTGAGGGCAGAATGTGGTCATTGTAATAATCGCTGAGGAAACTGTGTTATTCAGAAGAGGGTAGTTCTCACATACATACAGCACACTGAATCCTGTAGATAAATGCAAATATTCCAATCTTTTGAGTATGTGTAGGCCAAAAAAAGATATACCTGGAAATATACTAACAGTAATTTCTTAGAACATTTTGTATTTATTCTTTGTGTAATCAATTGCATGTAGTTAATTACAGTGAAGGGTTTGATCTTCAAAAAGACTTTCGAAGTCCTTTTTCCTCTGCAGAAAATATCTTGTATCCTTTGGAAAAGGGGTGTACCCTTTTTTAGCCTCTAACTGGACTGCTATAACAGGAATTGACAAATCCTGTTGTATCTTTTTTTTAATGGCTGTCAAATGATTTTTAAAAATTGTGATTAATCACGTAATTTTTTAATTGTGATTAATCATGCCATTTTAAAAAATAATCATGATTAATCACGAGATTTAATTGCACTGTTAATAATAGAATGCCATTTATTAAAATATTTTTGAATGTTTTCTACATTTTCAAATATATAGATTTCAGTTACAACAGAATCCAAATGAACAGTGCTCACTTTATATTACCGTATATACTTGTTCATAAGCCGCATTTTTTTAGTAAAAAAGGGAAGCACCAGAGAAGGAGGTCAGCTTATGAACGGGTATAGAGAGGGAGAGGTGGGACACAGCCCCTCCCCCCCCCCCCCCAACCAAAGGGGACAAGGAGAGGCAGCACAGCCAGCAGAGCCAGAAGGGAAGAGGCGGGGCCAGAGTCTCTTCGCTTCTGACTACGCTGCTCTCTCCCCAACCTGCCGAAGCAGCTCCTGCCAGGCCAGAGAGATCCTCACCTGGCCCACCCCAGCTAAGATGGGAAGCGATGGGATGGAAAGAGTGTTGGGCTCCAGGCTAGGGGTGGGGTCATGTGGGGTCACAGGCATTACTCCCCTGAACCCCAGCTTCTCCCCCTCGCCCCCCAGAAAAAGTTGCTGTCCCCCAGCCCATCAGGGTAAGCCGCTGATGGCCTGAGACACTTTGTTTACTTAGGTTTACCTCCGTGCCTGCAGACTCTCGAGGTAAACAAACCATCTTGGCCTGCCACCAGCTTATCCTGATGGCCCGGGAGCCAAATTTTGCCGACCCCTGAATTATAGGGTCAGCTTCTGAATGGGTCATAAAAAATTTCCATTTTTACTTATCCATCTTGGGGGGGTCGTCTTATAAACAAACCGGCTTGTGATCGAGTATATACGGTATTTTTTATCATAAATATTTGCACTGTGAAAAAGATAAATATAAGAAATAGTATTTTTCAGGTCACCTCATATAAGAACTGTAATGCAATCTCTTCATTGCGAAAGTGCAACTTACAAATCTACAATTTTTTTTACATAACTCCACTCAAAAATAAAACAATATAAAACTTTAGCACCTACAAGTCCACTCAGTCCTATTTATACAGCCAGTCACTAAGACAAACAAATTTATTTACATTTACAGGAGATAATGCTGCCGGCTTCTTATTTACAGGGTCACCTGAAAGTGGGAACAGGCGTTTGCATGGCAGTATTGGTAGCTAGTGTTGCAAGGTATTTATGTGCCAGATAAGCTAAACATTTGTATGCGCCTTCATGGTTCGACTACCATTCCAGAGGACATGCTTCCATGCTGATGACTGGTTTTGCTCGATAATGATCCAAAGCAGTGCGGACTGACAGACATTCGTTTTCATCATCTGAGTCAGATACCACCAACAGAAGGTTCATTTTCTTTTTTGGTGGTTCAGGTTCTGTAGTTTCTGCATTGGAGTTTTGCTCATTTAAGACTTTTGACAGCATGTTACACACCACCTCCCTCTCAGATTTTGGAAGGCACTTCAGGTTCTTAAACCTTGGTTCGTGTGCTGTAGCTACCTTTAGAAATCTCACATTGGTATCTTCTTTGCGTTTTGTGAAACCTGCAGTGAAAGTGTTCTTAAATCGAACAAAATGTGCTGGGTCATCATCCAAGACTGCTGTCGCATTAAA